AGCAGAAGGCTGGGGGCTGGTGGCCCCTGGTGACAACAGAGTGGTTGTGACAAGAGCAAGGCCAAGGGCACGATAAGGAGGCTGGGGAGGGAGCCGGGCCAGGGACAACACAGCTGTCCCTCTACCAGCCCCTGTGGGCCCCAGCCAAGCTCCGTGTGAGGAGCCAAGAGGCCAGCTGGAAAGCCACTCCTGGCCAGGTTCTCCGCTCACAGGAGTTGCATGCCCGCACACTCTGTGTGACCCGAGACCCCGTTGGGTCTGTCTGTCTCACACACATACACGCAAGCCATAGTGCGCAGGTCCATGCATGCAGACTCATTCTGGCTGACCAAACGTGATCAAACGTGACTGGTGCCCTCTGAGAGCACCAGATGTCAAGTGAGGACATTGGGCCAGGTCCTATTTCTTCTTCATCTTTTTTTTTTTTCTGAGCAGTATTGGAGTTTTAGCTCAGGGCCTTGCTCTTACTAGGCAGGTGCTCTACCACTTGAGCCATGCTCCCAGTCCTTTTTTGCTTTCATTATTTTTTTTTTCTGGTAGGGTGTTGTGTTTTTACCTGGGGCCAGCCTCAGAGCACAATACTGTCTATACCTCCCTTGTAGCTGGGACCAGAGGAGTAAACCACCACACTCAGCTTCACTCGGCTTACTTGTTGAGATAGGGTCTTATCAACTTTTTTGACATAGCTGGCCTTAAGCCTCCCAATCCCTGTTTTCCAAGCAGCTGAGATTACAAGTATGAGCCACTATGCAGGCTCCACAGACGCCCTTTCGAAGGGCTTGGGTCCTAGGCTCAGGCCAGGAGGAATCAAGAGCCAGCAGCTCCACGGCTACCTTACCAGCAGGAGATGAGAGTGTGCACAGGGCAGAGAGGGGTCCCCATCCTGCCTCACTGTGAGGAACACAAGGGACATCCAGCCATACTGTGCCCGGTGCTCCAGGCAGCTCTTAGCACTCCTCCTGTGACAGCCAGCCCAAGTAGCTGCAGAAGGGTCCTGGGGAAGGTCAGGGAATGGGGCCCTTGGTCCCTGCACCAGGCTGGGAGCACTAAGTTTCCGGGTGCTTAGCAGCTGTGGGGGTCCTCCTTGGCCAGCAGACCTATATCATAGGCCACAGGGCCTGTGCTGTGTCTGGGGATGGGGCCTGCTGGCTCAGCTCCCAGCAGGCTTCCCAGACAGGCACAAGCCCTGGACACTGAAAAGGCCGCAGCTCAGGTAGGCGCCTAGGATGGGAGGCGTGCGCCCCCATGCGGCACAGCATGGCTACCTGGCCGCTCAGTCCCAGAGGAGATGGGGCTGGGAAGCAGGACGGATCGGGAGCAGCGAAGGATGGGAAGGGCCTCCAGAGTCTGCAAAGGGCCTGGGCAGCCTCCCTGGAGGCAGACGCGACAGCCTGTGGCCTCGCCTGCCCACAGCCAGGGCCTCGGCACAGGGCACGTCCTCAGCACGTCTCATATCCCCCCCTGGGGGCAGGAGGCCCCACTCATGGCACCGCGGGATCTGCCACATCCCCTGTCTATCATTGCCACTGACTCCCATGAAACGAGATGGCACCCCAAGAGGAAGGACCTGGAAGAGCCATGGAGGCTTAAGTGTGGGCTGCCCCGGGAGGGTGGCGGCCACTCTGGGCCTTCTCTGGGGACCAAGGACTGTCACAGGGCCTGGCCTGGGCTGGCTGCTCACAACAGGAGTACCCCACTAGCACGGCACCCCTGCCTGCTCCCCAGCGGGGGACACGACTGAGAAGTGGCAGGAGACATGGGACTTTAAGAGGTGGAGCATGGTAGGAAGTCTTGGGAGAATGAAGAGACCCCAGGGGTGTGTTGTCAGTGTGTCTGGAAGCTGTGGGATCCGGCACCTTGATGTGCTGTGTCTCAGGGACGGTGTGGCGATGGGAGGCTGCTGGCAGCCTCCAGGGGCAGGTGACAGGAGGGAGGGGAGTGGCCCTCAAGTAGGCAATGGAGGTGGTCACAGGCTCTGCCCAGAAGTCACATCCCTGGGACCCAGATGGGGAGGACCGCAGCACTGTACCTCTGACCACACCCAGTGTGCCCCCGCCCCTCTGGCCTCACTGGCACGGGATGGCTGGGGGTGGGTGAGGTAGGGGGCGGGTACTTCAAAGCCCCACATAAAGGGAGATCTGGAGCCTAACTCTACACCAGACTGTTCACATCACACTGACTCGCAAATCACGTGACAAAGTGGCCACATGCAGAGTGGCTTCATAAAACACCATCCACCCAGTACACCAGCACTAAACCAAAACCTGCATCAGGTCCCGCTTGGGCTGTGCAGTGTGACAGGTGCGGTCTGATTAGGAGACAGATGTGGAGCACAGCTGCAGCGGCACTGGTGGCATCTGCGGAGTCCCCCACCCCACTCCAGAGCCCTCGAAGCAGGGCGGCGCGATCACTACTCTCCCAGGTCTGCAGGACAGATACTGCAGGGGCCCCAAGAGAAGGAGGACAAGGCCTGACAGCTCCGGGGTGCACTGGTCACCCGGGTCACTGAGCATGCTCGTTAGGCCCTGCTGGACCTGAGGACTGGCTAGGCTCTGCCTCCTGGGGCCACATGGCGTGGGGAGACTAAGGCGACCATGGGCAGTCACTTAGTACGCATGTGCCAGGAAGAGCGAGCACCTGGGCCTCCTCCCTGGCCTGACAAACGGGGCTGGAGAGGAAAGGCGCACCCCACAGCTCAGCCACTGTGAGCTCCACAGGAAGTCCCCTTCCCCAGGACCCTCCCCTCCCCCCGCCCCCCGCCCCACTCAGGATCACAAGCCAGGGCCAAGATCAAGGTGCTGCCAGAACTTTCTGTCCCCAAAGAACTGTGACATCACTGCTGGCCTTTGCCCCCCGAATGCTCTTCACATTGGATGGTCTGAGGGCGGGGCAGAGGCTCAAAGCAGCACTTGGTGCAGCAGGCAGCAAGTGGGGCTGGCCAACCTGGGAATCCTGTAGAAACCACTGAGGACACAGGTTCTGGCCTCAGCCAACCCTCGGCCATCTGGCCCGACCCCTCAGGCTGCTGCTGGCCCCGGCAGAAGGCCCTCTGTCCAGAGCCAGCCTTGCAGGGCCAGGGGTGTGGTATCTGCTGCCTGGTGCGGAGACAGTGTGCTGCTGGCATAGCCTTGGCCCCCTGCAGGGGTGAGGATGAACATGCACTGGCGATGGCCGCTCGCTTTTGTCCTACCTTTCTTTTATGACTTTTTTTTTTAAAGGAAATAGAAGGCCTTTCCTCCGTGAACTCCCCCAGAGATGCTGGCTGAGCAGACACCACGCCTCCGCTGCCTGCTGCCCTCCCAGCACCTGCTCTGCCCTCCCAGAGGCTCAGCTTGGCCAGGCCAGCCTGGCACTAGTCACTGCAGCCTCCGAGCCCCTCATCCCAGCATCCTGGGAAACTTCCACGAGGCTCAGCCTTGTGGAAGGACTGGGGCACCACCTAGTGGTATAAAGGCGCAGAACTTGGGCAGCTCCTGAGAGCTCACTTGATCCCATATTTCCAAGTCCACGCTGCACCCATGAGCACCCATATGCACCCACACAGGGAGTGAGCCTCAGCCCGCACTCCATACACCTGGCACTGGAACATCCTGGCTCCTGGAGCCCCGCAGGGAGCCTCAGCTTTCAGGGAGCCGGTGTTGAGCCCAGCGCTGTCCAGTGACACCCATGCCCCAACCTCACTCTCAGGCAGGGACTTGGGGCTCCTGCCACCGCTGCAGCAGTGCTGCCACCAGAGTGGAGGGCAGTCCCAGGGACTTCAGTGCCAGGGCATCCTTGTTAAGCCCCTTCCATGAAGTACATGGTGTCACCTCACCAGGAACTGCCACAAGGAGGCTCAGGGCCATGCACAGGGATGTGTCACCTCCCCAAACCTCCCACAAGTGCCCGGCATGAGGAGAGGACGCAGGGCAGGACAAGGCAGGCAGAGGCACAAGCGGGAACATGGCGCCTGGAACCACAAGGATCAACACACACCCAGTGGCACAGCACAGACCAGAAAGCTGGTGGACTGCAGTGAGAGCCCCAGACACCCTGCAGGGGACCTAAAAGGGGAGGAAAGGGGAGGGGAGGGAAGGAGAGGAAGGAGGGCTCAGTGGTGGGGCGCCCTAGCCCTAGCACGCATGTGGACTGTCTTCCATTCCAGCACCACAGAAAAGAGAAACCAAAACCAGAGTCTAGAGTCCAGACGTAAATCTTGTCAAAAAAAGGAGGGAGTGCTGGGTATGGTAGTTAATGCCTATAACCCTACTACTTAGGAGGCTGAGTGCTCAGGATTCGAGGGCCAGGAATCAAGTCAACAAAGACCCCATCTTAGTCAATAAATACCATGCACGGTAGTGCATGTGTCTAATCTTGTCTCTGTGTATGTGTATGTGTGCACAGACATATATATGCAGACACCAGAATGGGAACTCAGGGTCTCATGCTCTCACTTGGCTTTCTTGCTGACAGCTCTACCACTTGGGCCATGCATCTACACCAGGGCTCCAGCTCTTCAGCTCAAGGCTAGCACTCTACCACTTGAGCCACAGCGCCACTTCCGGCTTTTTTTGTTTTTGCTTATGTGGTGCTGAGGAATCGAACCCAGGGCCTCAGACATGCAAGGCAAGCGCTCTACCACTGAGCCACCTTCCCAGCCCCATCCAGGGCCCATCTCTTAAGAAGGGGAGCCTAGTCTCCTGGCGTAGCCTTCCAGCCAGCACGCCACCCACCCAGCCCCAAGCCAGCCACCATTGTGGAACCTGGAGGTCAAGGCCAAGGGACATTAGGTTCAGGCCCATAGCCTAGGCATCATACCAGTAGGACAGCCACCTCCTGACAGGGACACTGGAGCAGTGTGGTCCAGCTCCCGGCAACAGCCACGCACCATGGCGATATGGAGCTCTGTACAAAGTAGGCATGGGCCTGGCTCCACTCCTGGTGGGCAGAGCCGAGCTGCCTGAGGACAGTGGTCCATGGCCCCGACCCCCCGCGCCCCGGGACTTGCCCGGGCCACTCACCAGGACTTGGGCTCCCCGAAATGCAGGTAGTTGATGCTGTACAGGTCCATGTCCTCCGTGTGCCAGGCAAAGGTGGTCTTCCACATGCCGAAGTACAGGTAGGGCGTGTTGACGCCCTCAATGATGGTGCCACACTCCCGCTCCACCATGTCCAGGATGGTCCGCAGGTTGCCGATGTTCCACTGCGCCACGTCCTGCGGGGCCACCGAGCGCATGGTGAGCGCGCCTGCGTGCTCCTGCCCAGCCTCCCGCCCAGGCCCTCTGCGGGGGCCCCACTCGCCCAGGGCCTGTGGACCCCTCGCCAGCCAGGCTTGTGGGCTCCAGCTCTGCCTTTGTGAAAGAGAAGGGCCAGGATCGCCTCCCGAGCTGCTCTGCCCTGCCCTGCCCTGCCCACTTGCTGAATCTGTGCTATGCTGGGCTGCAGCCTCAGTATGACCCATGCAGCGCGGCTGTGCACAATTAAGACTTTGGGAAATTAAAAGACACGGGGAAGGTGGGGAGGGGAGGACAAAAAGGTTCGACCCCAGCACTGGTGTGTAGCCTAGGTGCAATGGCAGCCCTTCCAGCACCTACCATCATGGCAAACCAGGACAGGACCTTGCCTGCCTGCAACCCTGTCCTGACACAGGAGCTGTCAACGGTCCCTAGAGACTGAGCCAGGCCTGCATGGAGATGAGACACGAGTGCCTGGGACCCAGGGGACCCTGGGGCAGGCCACCCTTCCACCTGTGCCTTCCTGTCCACACATCACCCAGACACTGAGGTGGGCTAAGGGACCTGGGCTTCTTAGATCAAGATGCTACTGTGTTCTCAGCCTCAGTTTCCCCCTCAGCGGGGGCCGAGCATTGCACTGCACCAGGCATGGTGCAAAAGCTCCAGGACCAGCGGGAAGTGTCGCCCATGGGCCGGCCCAGTGTGGTGCGCTGGGGCTCGCACATGGCCACAGCCCTGGCCAGGAGTTCTTTCACTCTTGTTGAAAACCAGCGCTGTGGGGTCCTAAGACTGGGGGAGACACGCCAGATAAAGAACCGCGCCTGGAGGCCACAAGGAGTCTGAAGACCCCATGGGAAATGGGACAGTGTGTAGCGAGGTGCCTTCGCGAGCACCCAGCCGGGCACAGGGACACCGCCTTGGCTCCATCCCGACCCATCGGGCTGAGGTGTGTTGAGGGGCAGCCGCTGTGTAGGACAGGCAGAGGGAACCTTCCCTCTCCCTCCAACCCACCAATTAGAGGTGAGCACCGTGTCGGCCTCCACCCCCGCCTAAGGGTGCTGTTAACAGCTGCCACCTTAGTGTCCCCAGGCAGGGAGCTGAGACGCCCTTCCACAGGAGCGTGGGACACTAGTCAGCCAGCCAGGAGGACACGGGGGACACAAGCAAGGAAGGCCATGTGAGATGACGCAGGTGGCCACAGCTCTGTGGGCGCAAAGGGAAAGCCATGTGATGCTCGTGGTGGGCCCATGCCACCCCACACGGGTGCCAGCCCCCAGGCCATGGCTTTGGTGACAATGGTGCATGGAGGTAGGCATGGTCCCAGGAGGATGGGCATCCTGGTGGGGCTCTGCTGATTGGACCTGGAGGCTGGCAGCCGTAGGGTTGCCCTACCTTTTCTCAATTTTGTTGGCACCTAAAGGTGCACTAAGAAAACGAAATAAGGGGGCTGGGAAGGTGGCTCAGTGGTAGAGCGCTTGCCTTGCATGCATGAGGCCCTGGGTTCAATTCCTCATGCACCACATAAGCAAAAAAAGCTGGAAGTGGCACTGTGGCTCAAGTGGTAGAGCACTAGCCTTGAGCTGAAGGACAGCGCCCCAGCCTGGTGTTCAAGCCAAAGAGAAAATAAGAATCTGGGATCCCCATCTCAGGCCAGACCACTCCATGAGAAGCAGTGAGATTTCCCAGCAAGAGAACCTGGGCCTTCTCCATCACCAGCCACAAAAACCACTTGCAGCTGTGCTCACCATGGAGGACAGGCTGAGAAGTGCAGAATCAACCTCTCAGGAGAAGCCTGGGAGCAGACCCGCATGACATCAGGATGGGCGATGGGTTCTTACACAGAACACAACAGCACAGGCAGCGAAAGAAAAACCAAGGTGAGTGGGAAAGGCTCAAAAGATGCCGCCTTCCAGGAAGGCAGAGGGCGGGTGGGAGAAGTGTTTGTAAATCATGTGCCAGATAAGGATGCCAGACCTTTCCTTGGTGTCTGGCAGGTGCTCTACAACTTGAGCCAGGCCCCCAGCTCTCTTTGCTTTCATTATTTTTCAAACAGGGTCTCACATTTATGTCTGGATTGTGATCCTCCTATTTATGTATTCTATATAGCTGGAATGATGGGGGTATGCCACTGTGCTCAGTGTTGTTTTTTTTTTCCTTTTTTGTGCCAGTACTAGGGCTTGAACTTGGGGCCTTGTGCTCTTATTTGACCTTTTCTGCTAAAAGTTGGCATTCTACCACTTGAGCCACACCTTCACCTCCAGCTTTTTGCTGCTTAATTGGAGATAAGTCTCATGAATTTGTCTGCCCGGGCTATCTTTAAACCGTGATGCTCAGATGCTGAAGAGCTGGGATTATAGGTGTGAGACACTGGCAGCACAGCATGGAGCCCAGCTTTGTACTGGTTGAAATGGGGGTCTTGTTAATTATTTATCTGAGCCAGCCTTGAACCATAATCCTTTCCAGATACCTCCCAAATAGCTGGCATTATAAGCATGAGAACCTGTGTGCCCAGCTATGGGATTCACATGGTTAAATGTATCACACACCTCAAACATTAGTGGAACAACTTTAACCATGTAAAGAATGGAGCTGAAGTGAGGTGCCAGTGGCTCACGCCTGGAATCCTAGCTACTCAGGAGGCTGAGATCTGAGGATCGTGGTTCAAAGCCAGATCAGGTAGCAAAGTCCATGAGACTCTTATCACAGATGAACCACCAGAAAAATGGAAGTGGCGCTGTGGCTCAAGTGGTAGAGCGCTCGCCTTGAGCTGAAGAGCTGAGGGACAGCGCCCAGGCCCAGAGTTCAAGCCCCACAACCAACAGAAAAAAAATAAGAAGAATGGGGCTGATATTCCTGCAAAAACAACGCACAGATGGGAGGAGTCAGAGGAGCCTCACTCCCAGCACCAGGCGGCCATGCCCACAGGCATGCTTACAAAGCCCTGGTGCATACAACACGTGCCCCTCAGTGGCCGATGGACATCAGCCACTTCCCCATTCCATGCTGGAGCGTCACGCAGCCATGCATGGGGTGCGGCTGTGAGTCACCACAGCCCGGAGGTGCCCAAGGACATGGGGCGGTGCAAGAGAAAGCAGACACCGAGCCCCACCATGTGTGACTCCAGTGAGAGGGAACATCCAGAGCAGGCGCGCCAGAGACCGGAAGTGGGCTGGGAGGCGACGGGGGGGGGGGGGGGGGGGGGGGATGCTCACGGGGACAATGACAATGTTCTAAAATTGACAGTGATAGTCACACATCTCTGCATGTTCTAAAAGGCACAGATTGAGCTGTTGGTGGGTGAACTGTGTGGTTTGTGACTCATACCTCCAAAATGTCAGATAACCAAAGAACAAGGGAACTCCGCTGGCAGAAGTGAGCAGTGGCCGGGCTGCCTTCCTCGTGGGAGTGTGGCCTTCCAGCCTGATGCTGGTGCGTGACACCTGTGTGGCCACCACACAATGCTGTGGCTGGACCGCAGCTGCCATCAGAGAGATGAGCAAGCTGTGGCCGGGGCAAGGGTGGCGGTAAGCAGGGATGGCAGGCGCCTGGATGTGCCACACGGCCACCAAATGGCTGCTAGAGCTGCTAAAGGAGCAGAAGCGATCTCACTCACCTCACTTGGGCCAGGCCATGAAAACAGCCTCTGTGTACCCCCAAAGAGCAGCAGGGACAGCAGCCTCCTGCTGGGGTACCAGGAAGTGCCCTTCCTAGAAGCAGTGAGGAGGGTGAGAAGGGCCCCTGGGGCCAGAGCCCCTGCTGCTGCTGTCTGGGGGCACGGGAGGCCCCGCCCCCGCACAGCTGCCAGATGTGGCGGGCAGGTGCCGGCAGCGGCTCGCAGTCCTGTCAGCAGTGTGGCACTCCAGTGGACAGCGGGTACAGTCAGGCCTGTCCCCACTGCACCCCAGGAAGGCTGTGGTTTCACTGGCTGTCCCCTTTGCGGGAGGGAGTGGCACATGGTCACTCTGGGACCACAGGGTCCCCTCCATAGCCAGAGGCCTCTGCGGGACCCCACACTGCTTCAAAGGGAACCTGAGAGGTAAGGACAGCGAGAGTAACGGGGTTCCCCTGCTCCAGGCCCAGTGTCTCCCTAGTTCTAAGCTCCCCAGAGCCTGCAGCCCCTCTCAAGAGCTGAGCCAGGGCAAGCCGCTGCACCAAAGCCAGCACCATGTACTCAAAGTCTGTGGGGCAGAAATCAATCCTCCGGAGGACCGAGGTGCACCCCATCCCTGTGCTCAGGTCAGGCCTTCTCTGCAGCTGGAGAGGAGGGGGCACTTGGCAGGACTACCTGCAGCTGCACAGGACCACACAGGCTCACTAGGCCGCTCCAGCCCAGCACCTCCATGCTAGGCTCTGGTCCTCTGAGGCCCCCAAAACAGCAGTGAGCCTCCCCTAATAATATAAGTTCACCTGACACCCATCAGCTCATGCTGGCACCTCTGGAAGAGGCATTCTGGCAATCTTTGGCAGGGGTGCAGACCCCCCTCGCCCCACCTGTCCACCCAGCCATCAGTCCTGGGGCTCCTGGCCAGAGGCAGGGAGAATCCAGCACTCAGACTGAGGTGGGTGAGTCCTGGGGGCCCAGGCGGGGCTGGAGTGGCTGGAGGAGCAGGGCAAGCTGGGTAAGACTCTAGGGTGAGGTAGGAATGACTAGTAAATCAGCTGATCTGGGCTTTTTCCCGTCACTGACACTGAGCAAGATGGAGGTGAAGTCTCCTTGTCCCCCAAGAAAGGTAGAAACTCAGGTGCTTACGTCATCGTACAGAGAGCCACTGATGTCAGCCCCGTAGATGGGAGACACGAACGTGAGGTTCTTCCAGTACTTGCGTTCCAGGTCGTCAAAGTCCTGGTGTCGTGGGGTACAGTACCTAGAAACAACAGCACCCCAGACTCAGAGAGAGAGCCAGGCACCAAGCAGCCACCCTGGACCAAAAGACACTGTGGAGGGCTCAGGCGCATGAGTGGCAGTTTCCGGGGGGGACAGGGGATTGTGCCGTGGAGCAGGGCAGGTGCTCCCCAGAACCAAGCCCTGAGGACTCAGACCACAGCACCCCCAGGGGCAGCTAGAGCAGAGGGCCAGGGAGCCCGGTGGCTCTCAGTCCTGCTCTAGAGAGACAAGGGAGGGGACAAGGTCACTATGGGAGAAGGACAGCCCAGTCCTGCCCTCACGGGCCACTGAGAAGCCAAGACACAGACAGGGCACTGGGGACGCAGGCCCACGGGGGAGGGAGCATGTCTGCCGTGTGGGCCAGCGAGTGGCAGCGGGAAGCTGGCCAGGTCTTCTCGGGAGGTGCTGCGGGGTGCGGCATCCCTGAGGATGGGGTGAAGCGAGGCCCCCATGTGGAGTGGGTGGAAGGGGTGCATGGGCAGCTGTGCACCTGGGCTGAGGCCCCGGCAGCCACACAGCTGCCACGCATGCATGCTGCGCCCACCCGCGCCGTCCACCTACTTCTCACTGTTGGCAAGCCGCCGGTACTCCCCCACGGTCATGGCCTTTTTCTGGATGTTGTACTGGGTGAAGAGGCCTGACTGCCCGGTCACCACTTGCTGGATGGGCGCCGGGATGACCACGTCGTCGATGTCATCGTAAGTCTGCCGCGGCTTCCACTCCTTTGGGGGGATGATCTACAGGATCAAGAGAGGGGCTGGCAATGCAGCTCCAGGGGTTCCCAGCATACCCCCCAGCCCTGTGCCAGCTCCAGGCCTTCATCACGCTTCCAGACACACTTTGGGGGTACCCACTGCAGCTGGCCTGTGCACCATCCCGACCCCAGCACCCACAGGTCCCCAAGGTAACAAGCTACAACTTGTCTGCACGCGTCCTGCATGAGGCATTTTGGGGACTTTCAAATCCCAGCTGGTGCTTGTGGCACTGGGCACTGTGCACTAGCGCCCCCTAGCTCTAGGAAGCCACACTGCGCCCTTCAGCCCCCATGGCTGACCCCGCAGGCCATCAACTCCACCCAGCCTGGGGGCCTCCTGAGGTCAGCCCAAGGAGTTGGCCAGCACTGCTCCCATCTGCCAGTTGAATAAACTGAGGCCAAGGGCACCCAGAGGGTGGGGGGACAGCCAGCTGGGGAGTGTGGGCTCAGGGTGCACAGAGCTGAGGAGGAGGGCGCCATCACCCTTAGGGGCAGAAGAAGGGCCACAACTCTGCAACCTTCAGCTGGGAGCTGCTTGAGAGCCTGGAGAGGCACCATCTTTGTCCATCCCTTGGGGGTGAGGGTCCAAGGCCAAGGAGAGCCCCTGAGAGGCGGGTGAGCCCCTGAGCCTCAGTACTGTGTGGGGTAGGGCCATGTAGGCCTGGCCTCCCTCCGAGGCCCACAGTTCCCGCTTCACTCCTGAGCTAAGTCCTCCAGACTGACCACACCTGCTCAGGCTCTCCGACAAGATGGCTGGGGAGATACCAAGACCTCCGACCAAGATCTCTCTCTGGAACAACGGAATGCATTACTATCCCCAAGGATACTGCCATCTATGGGCAGAAGACCTTGGCACACTTGGCAATGCCAGTGCTTCTGCCCAGCTGCCTGCCGACAGTGGGGCTGCAGAGGGTCGGAGGGGTTACACGTGACTGTGTGGCTCACTTATGACGTAGTAGTCAGTACAGGGGGCCCAGCTTAAGGGCTGCGCCCCCCCCCTTCCCCGGGAAACCCAGACCTTGTCTGGGGATGGATGACTGTCACCACTGGGGAGCTCCTGGTATGGAGTAAGTGGAGGCCAGACACTGCTCAGCCCCCTGCGGGGCCTGAGAAAGAGTATGTGGGAAACCCCAAGTCAGAGCTACTGAGGGACATGAGCTGGGTCTCCATGGGAACCTCCGGTCCCTCCCCATCCAAGCTCGACTTGGAGGAAAGGCACCAGGTGGGAGCAGGGTGGGGAGAGAAAGAGGATCGATGGGGGGACGCAGGCTGCTCAGACAGCAGCAGAAGACGCAAGGTGCTGGAAGTGCTAGGAGGGGCCAGGCCGGCCAGTGTCCAGAGTGAAATGGCTGGGACAAAGGTGACAGATCAGGGAAGTGACAGGGACATGAAAGCCGCTTCAGAAGTGAGCAGGGACACGCCCATCTCCATTGCCTTGCTGCTAGATACTGCATGCTGGCAAAGAGGGCTGCAGGCTGCTGATTCGTGGATGGAGGGCTGCGTCAGCCTTGCTATGGGGGAGACGTGACATCTCCTGACCCAGGAGGGGACTAGTACCTGACAACTTACAACACAATGGCGCAGTCAGAAGAAAAGCCCCAACTGGCTAGGAAAGGTGTAGTCCCAGCTACTTGAGAGGCAGAGACAAGAGGCTCACAGGGGCTGAGAATGTGGCGTGGCAGTAGAGTGCTTGCCTTGCATGCATGAAGCCCTGGGTTCAATTCCTCAGTACCACATACACAGAAAAAAACCTTAAGTGGTGCTGTGGCTCAAGTAGTAGAGTGCTAGGCTTGAGCAAAAGAAGGTCAGGGACAGTGCACAGGCCCTGAGTTCAAACCCCAGGACTGGCAAAAAAAAAAAAAAAGGATCACAGTTCAAGGCCAGCCTTGGCCTTTAACAGTGAGCATGAGTCCCTAACACTGAAAAACAAATGCAAATGTGCCCAGGGTGTAGCTCAAGTGGTAGAAGCATCTGCTGAGCAAGCGGGAGGCTCTGTGTCTGATCCACAGTATCACCCCCCAAAAAACAAATAAACGAGGCAAAGCTCAAACACCTGCAGCCTTCAGAGGAGGCAAATGACAGCTAAGGGGGCTGGAGGTACGCCCTCAGCATGCAAGTCCCAGGAGTTCAACCCCAACATGTACACAGATGCACACAACACAAACACACGCTGAGAAAGATCGACACTGGGTCACCGTCCCCATGTCTTCGTCCTTTAGGAATTACTGCCTCCCAACCCTTACTTCCCCAAAGGCCTCCGGACCCCCATCCCTGGGATGCCCCGGGCCTCACACCCCAGGGTCCAGGTCCCCGCCTAGCCTGCCAGTGCCCTCATCACTGATCAACACCAACCCGAGCACCCACAATCCACGCCCCCTGGCACATGGCGAGCACGCCCACAGTTGAGATGATAAGGTTGCAGTGGCTCAGTGGACACTCGGAGAAGATGGGGACACCAAAGGCCACCCGGTCTCATCACCCACCTTGGCCAGGCCCGCCCGGTGGGCTCCCTGTGATTCTATGTAGGCCACGTATTTGTTGAAGTCCTTAAATTCCTCCATGGTTGGACGGAATGTCATGATCTTGCAACTGGGGTTCTGGGCCCCGTGGTCCTCAGACCCCATGGCGGCAGCTGTGTGGCTGTTGTACCTGTGTGGGAAAGGAGAGGGTGAGCAAGTCTGTGCCACGCTGGCCACCCACCACCATGTCTTCTCCTGGGGGGAGGACAAAGGCCATGGGCTCCGGCAGCTGAGCTGGGGGGAGAAAACGGTGACTGGCACCACGGCTTCTTGTGGGCATCAAGTCCAGGGGTGGCCTGGTTTCCAAAGCCAAGGCAACACTAAGCACATGCACCCAAGTGGGCCCTGGGAATCTAAGCTGCCCCCCCCCACCTCCAGCAGTGTTGGCCACAAGTCAGTGCACGCCCTGCCAAGACCAGGGCCCAAGAGCAGCAGCTTGTATTTGGGGGAGACACAGTCCTGGCCTGGTGGCCAGGGAACCTGCCCCACCATGCAGGGCTCAGCTGTGAGCATGCTGGGAGTGAGAGAAAGGCAGGAAGTCCACCTTGGGAGAGGCTCCCAGGCATCAAGTTGCCGCTCTCCAGCAACCAAGTGCTCCCCAGAGTGGGCACTAGGGGGCAGCACACACCCAGGAATCAACAGGATCCTGAAGCCCAGGCCTGCTCCCACCTCCTCACTGCCTGCGCTCAGCCTCGTGCCCTGGGCCACCCCACCCTGCCTGCGCACAGGGGGCTGTGACAAGGGCCAGTAGTGAAGACCTGGCGTGTGGTCCCAGTGCTGGCTGGATGCGATGCGAGTCCACTGATGGGGCTGCCCCAGCCCAGAGCCGGGCCAGGACTCTGCTCTGTGCACCGTTGGTTTCAGCTTCTTCTAGGGTGGTCACAATGCCAAGTTTACCACGGGGCCACGGGGGCTCTGTGCACAGCAGGAGGCAGTGCTTTGGGCAGGACACGCCAAGGTCTACAGAGGAAAGATGCCGGCACTGTCTTCATTAGAGCAGCCACCGTGTCCCCAGCTGTCCATATTGTCCTTGCCCTCTGCCAGGCCCAGTACCCAAATCCCTTCCTATAACCCCCACCAGCACCAGGACCTCCTCCCACCCAGACAGGCTCCCTGGGCTGTGCCGCTGAGGGCATGACCAGGGGCGGGAGCAACTCCAAATCTGCCCTTGGGGGCCATAAGCATCACCTGGAGCTGGGCAGAGAAACCATAGCACCTGCCTGCAGGAGGCAGCTGGACCCGAGCACCCCTGGCCTCAGTCCCCCATGACAGGCCTGAGTCCTGTTCCTTAGGGTGCCCTGTGAGGCAGACTGAATGGTGGCAGCCAACACCATGTCAGCACCACGCCTCTCCAGTGGGTGGTGAGGACTCAGACCACAGCCCCGGCTCCGTGGCTGATTGCAGAGACGGGGAGCCCCAGCCTCCTGGCCCACTAAGCCACGGGGCCGGCGTCCAGCCAGGCTCTGCTGAGACCACCCAAATCTTATCCCTTGCCTGCCTCCTGCTCGGCCTCCTCCAGCCTCCAGGCTCCCAAGGAAGAGGCTGCCTCCACCCCTCTAGCCCGGCCTTCACTGCCTGCCCTCCTCCGGGGGGCTGCAGACCTGCAGACCCTGCTCACCTGCCCAGGCCAGTGTCTGTGCAGGGCAAGCAGAGCCCTAGGACCAGGCTGAGGCCCAGTGGGTGCTCTGGGGTCTTCAGGCAGCTGCACCCCTGTTCAGCTGCTGATGGTTTGGGTCTATATAGGGATTTGCGCTCTGTAAGCAGGAGGCTCTGCAGAGCAGCACCCAGAATGGGGGCAGCACCTCACACGAGAACTTCCGCTATGGAGAAGATGCGTCACAGGGAAGGTAGGTGGTGGGAGAGGCAGGTGCTCTGCACATGCGCAAGGCAATGCAGGGCATAGGGTGCTAAACCAGATCCTGTATAGCTTTATTCAACTTATTTGTGTGCCTTTTGAAATGACGTGTGCGCGCGCGTGCGTGCAAATGCACGCACACGCACTGGTACTGGGGCTTGAACTCAGGGCCTCAGTGCTGTCCCTGAGCTTTTTTGCTCAAAGCAAGCTCTCTACCACTTGAGCCACAGTGCCACTTCCCAGCTTTTTGGTAGTTAATTGGTGATTTTTCCAGCCCAGTCTGGCTTTGAATCACAATTCTCAGATCTCAGCCTCTTGAGTAGCTAGGATTTCAGACATAAGCTACTAGTACCTAGCTTGAAATGGCTTAAAAAAACAAAACCAAAAACACAACAGTTTGCTTTGTCTGTGCTTTCTGAGCCAAAGTCTTACTATGAAGCCCAGGCTGTCTAGAACTTAAGATCTTCCTGCCTCATCAGTCCTAGGATTCCAGGCCTGGTACCACTCTAGACTTTACATTTACTTTTTAGTGTGAGCCAGCACTGGGACTTGAACTCAGGGCTTCAGGTTTTCTGCACCCCAGTGCTCTATCACTTGAGCCACACCTCCATTCCAGCTGGTTAACTGAAAATGAAGTCTCACAGACCTTTCTTCTTAGGCTGCCTTCAAGTCATCGTCCTTCCAGTCTTAGCCTCCTGAATAGCCTGGATTACAGGCGTGAGCCACCGGTATCTGGCTTGGAATGACTTGTTTTTAGTAGACATTACTCATGGCTATTTGATCTCCATCAGTAGAGAACAACTGTGTGCACCAGTGTCATCTGTGACAGGAACCACCAAGGCACACTCAGCCATCACTACTGTGTCCCTACCACGCTGTACCCGGGGCGGTGGCAGCTGCGGGTACCAGGCCCATCTGGTGAGCTGTCCAGCTGCGTGCAGGATCACTACCACGTGTGGCGGCCCCCCTGAGGCCCAAGCATCTTCAGCTGCGAGGAGCCAGTGGCAACTGGTGCCCTTGCTGGTTAAGCATGCCGGGCAGAGGTGGAGCTGCAGGGTATGTGGGTAACCTCCGGGGAAAGTGGGAGCCCCTCCCGCTCACATCCATCTGCATCAGCTAAAAATCCTACGGGAGACTCATGCCACCCATGAGCTGAACATGAACAAAGCCACTGTTTAACACAAAGGAAGTCACGTGTTCGGGGGTCCCCGTGACCCCCATCCTACAGAAGGCTATTTGGCTGCCGGTCTGGCCAGGTCCTCCTCACCCCAGGAGCACAACTGGCATAGGCTGCTGCCCATCACAGGGGACAGGACTGGCAGGTGACTTCCGGCCACATGGAGCGGGCTGCCTGCCCCACACCAGCGGGTCTCTTTATTGCAGCCGCACAGGCCTGGAGCTCAAGTGGGGGGGGCACAGACACTCAGGAGGCGCCCCTGCCTCCCAGCCCCCGCGGCATAGCTGTCAGTGATGCCCCAGGTCAGGGCCTCCCGCACCTGGCACTGGCCTTGAGGCAAGGCCATGGTGGAGGAGGGCAGGTGGGGCTGAGAGCCAGGATGCTCTCCAGGTCCCAATGGCACAGTATTTGAGACGGATAGACCGGCCGTGCTGACAGAGGCCTGGACAGGACACAGGCTGGCCAGACTGGCAGAGGACTGGGCACCAAGGGTAGGGAAGTGGCTGCTTGGTTGCTGATGAGCGCTGGGGCCCTGCGCGGCGTCTCCGGCGGTGCTGCTCCCAGCCTCCCACCTGCCAAGCCCTGCAACGACTCCCAGCTGCGGGCCGCGCTTCCCAACAGGGAGCCACGGAGCCCCGCGTGGCCAGCAGCTTGTCTCTGTAGAAACATGTCCCCAAGACCACCTCCCCAAAAAAGTAAGGAAGCAGGGACCCCTTTAACCCTGGTCCCTTCAGTGTGCTACCAGAACGTTCTCGGCCCCCATTCTCTCCACTCCTCCCACGTTCGGACCTCTGACCTCACAGGATGTGACCACTGCTGCCCAGCAGCCCCTGCCAGGCTCCAGGTAAGTGAAGCCCCTGGGCTGCTCCCCAGTCCCAGACCTGGGACTGGTGGACCGGCCATCTTCACCCTCCTGCCAAATGGCAGGGCCTGGCAGCTCTTGGGAGCTCAGGTCTCGGAGAAGAGGGGACACAGTGAAAGGGCGGGGGGGCCACCAGGCCCCACAGGGTGGTCTGGCCAGCCTGCCTCTCCCAGGACAGCACCCCTACTCTAAGAGTACCCCACAGAACCGGCAGCCTAAGCCTCAGGGACAGAGACAGAGCAGCAGGCTGTTGGGCTTGAAGGGGCACCATAAGGGGAAATGTGGGGTCAGCCAATGATGGAACCCCAGTGGGCAGAGGTGGGCAGAGCCTGCAGGCCCGCACTCCTGTGCTGTGACAGTCAGTGACAGCACGCACCATTAGCCGGCCAGAGCCTGCAGGAGTCTCACTGCGGAGGATCCACGTCCCTCGGTGACACTGGGCTTCGGGTCACCCAGGAGGTTCCCAGCCCAGGGCCCCTTCTGCCACTAAGGTGAACACCACCAGTGCAAGCTTGGGCCGTGGGCACTGCCAGGACCGTGCGTCATTACGTAAGGAGACAGCCCCCATCCCCCAGCGCCGCCTGCAGCCCGCCGCCCACTGGGTGAGATTGGGGAGCCTGTGCCTACGCACACACAGACAAAAGCAGGTTCTGGAATCAGAGAGGAAACCGTGCTCCCACCAATGAGGTACCCCCCCCACCCAGCCTCTACAGGTACGGGTGGCACTGCAGGTTGTCATGGTCACAGAGCAAACACACAGGGACGCAGGGCCTGGCCTGCAGCTGCAGGCGGACATTGGTGTCCTGCAGGCCGGATCCCCACAGGCCCCAGGCTTCTACCTCGTTATCTCCCTAGGTACTCAGGCCCAGCGCAGGGCACAGTAAGTGGGGAGCCTGGAGATACCCCCAAAGTGTTAGCTGCAGGCTTGGTGCGGGGCAGTAAATTGATACCATGTGAGGATGGGCAGGGGAGACCCAGAGCTTACCCACTCTGAACCCCAGACCAAGGGTGGGTGCACGGGGGGGGGGGGGGGGGGCAGGGGGACCAAGGCCACACTGGTAGAAGGTGCTCAGGACTTAGTCCTGAATTCACAAGCTACGTGGACAAAAACAGAAGAACCCTGCGGCCAAGTGTCAGCTCTCTGCGTGACCAGCCTGGCTCAGTCCCCACTGCTCACACCTGAGTGTCAGGACAGGTACCGACCATACTGTGCCCTTGTTCGGGGCCTTGGCCAGAGGAGAGAGTAGCAGGAGGAGTGACCAGTGTGTCCTTCCCACTGGCCCATGGGAGGCCTCTTCTCGCTCTGCCCCATTTCTTGGCATCTAGTCCCTGCAGCACGGAAGTCCCAAAGGGCTGGCGACGAGGTAAAGGGGTCCCCTGCCCTAGCACTGCACATCAACCTCACACGCAGCACTCACCGAAAGTGGGGTGTGGCCACCACACGGCCCCCAGAAGCTACGGGGCTGCCATCACAGGCTAGGCCTGGCAGCGCTCTATTATTTGGCCTCAGTGACACTTCCACATCCAGCTGTTTTGGTAATTTATTGGAGATAAGAGTCTCGTGGCCTTTCCTGCCCGGGCTGGCTTTGAACCAGGATCCTCAGGTCTCAGCCTCCTGAGTAGCTAGGATGACACTGTAGGTAGAGTGCTGCCTCTGCCAGAGTGCTCCCCCGTTCCGTCCTGGGGCCTCTGTGGGCGCACTCCTCTCAGAGCCTCATGGGAACTGACAATGGGGCAGGCAGCCCCCTCCTTACTTACTGAGTTGCTTGGTAGGTTGCAGGTGGCTGAGGTGGCTGGGTGACAGTTGCTGGGGACACGACAGGACTTCCTGTCAGGACTTCCTCCTGTCAGGCCTTCTTGTCCAGCACCTCCTGTGAAAGGTCAGCTCCTAAAACATATAAACACACATGTCATTGACTCAACCTGCACATACCCAGCATCTCACTGACCTGGGAACAGGGGCACGAAGGGCAATGGCACTGGCTTCACACCCCACTTAGTTGAACCTTCACCAATTTCTTTTCTTTTTGGTACCAATCCTGGGGCTTGAACTCAGGTTCTAGGTACTGTCCCTCAGCTTTCTCTGCTCAAAACTGGGCACTCTACTGCTTGGGCCACAGCTTCACTTCCAGCTTTTTGCTGGTTAACTGGAGATAACTGAATTGCAGACTTCACTGCCCTGGCTGGCAGCTGCCTGAGTGACTGGGATTACAGGTGTGAGCTACCAGCACCTGCCCATCCTCAGCAATTTCAAGAACACGAAAACTTGCAGATAAAGCACCTAGCCCAGTCAACATCATCCACAGTAAACCCATCTCCTGAGCAGCAAGAGGTGGACAGAAGAGCTACTGTCAACAGATTACTACCATGGAAACATCTGGAAACCTTAGGCCACTAAAGCTTTTTCAATCAGTGTTGCCTCCTCCAAAACCCCTCAGCCTCTGCAAGAAAAAAGTGGTATGAATCAATTTGCCATATCATTTCTAAATGACTCCATGTTCCTGACCACACATAAGAGAGATATATGTGCACATCCTAGGGAAGCTAGGAGGAGGACACAGAATCAGAGGGAAATGGGAAAATATACAACAGAGGGGTCCATCAGCTGCACTGGACACTGAAGAAAGCAAACTAAGCAACTCAAGGGCAGCGATGGGAGGGAGAGAATGAGAGGGAAAGAGGGAACAGCTCACCCTAAGCAAAAGGAAAGAAATGGACATATTACCCGATATGGAAGACATAGTTGCATTGTCAAAGCTCATAGAATTCACAAACATTACAGACCATGATGATGACAATTTGCCTTTTGAAGGTTAACCTGTGTTTGTGACTTTAACTAAGTATCACTATCTCACAATACAGTGAAATTTATGTAATCACTTAATCTCAATTAAAAAAATTATTTTTTTTAAAAAGTGTGGAAAAGCCCCCGTCCCTCAGCCACATCCCCACACGGCAAGAGCACAGGACACGCATGGCAGAGGCGGCTCGGACCCCGGCCCACAGAGGTCAAGGCCCATTCTGGTCAGTGACCTATAGTCCCAGAACAGGACCTCAAGTGCTCAGTGCCTGGTGGTGGGCAGCACGTAGGCTATATGTGGCACCAAGGCCTTGACAATACAGCACCTAGCTCCAAAGGCCAGGCATGACACCTCCCAGCCCCTGCCCCTGTACCTGAGGCCCTCAGCCCACCCTGGACCCCTGCCTGACCTGTGACCCCGGGTCCTGGGGAGACTTCTGGGATGGTGGCAGGGGCGGGGGCAGAGGGGAGGGGAGGCTCTTAAGTCTTTGCACATTTAAATGATACATGTTCAACACGCAAAATCCTCCGATGTTTTCAATTTCACTTCGATGGTTTTCAAAATCATCAGGGCCAACCATTCCACGATGTCATTGTCTTCTCCCAGATCTTAACCCTAGGCAGGGACGCACACTAAGCAGGGGCGCTCAGGGCCCCAAAACCTTTACTACAGTCACCACCCACAACCCTTGCTGCCCCATCGCCTGCCTAGAGCTAAGCCTTCTGGCCCCTCACCCTGCCAGCACCTCAGCAGCTCAGGCACCAGGATCTGAGGGCCTGGATGCTTCGGAACCTGGGTGTTACTTGGCCAGCAGAGCAGCAACCTAGAGCCTGCGGCCATCACACCCCAAGGGCAGGAGACCTACAGATGCAGTTAAGCAAAGGACCCTGACCTGGGGTCACCTGGGTCATCTGTTCAAGGGGCGTTGGCTGCAACTGAAGCAACCTGAGGTGATACCACACAGCCCAGTGCCACGCCCAGATCAGCCTGTGGCCTACCACTGGGCCATGCTGCTGCCACGACCTGTGCCCTTCTCGCCCCCCCAGCCTTTCTGCCAACAGCCAGCACATGTCCTCTCTGGGGACCTCAAGTGGAAGTGCCCTTGGCCACCATGCTGCCCATCACCTCAACTGCCCACGCTGACCCTTGGAAAGAGAATAGCCTGGGAGAGCTGGGTCACATGTAATCACATGCCCACCTCTGCCCCACGCCTGGTGCAGGCTAAGAGGAAGTGGTCTCCCCACCTGCACCCTATTACCTGACACCGGCCTCCCCACTCCTCCCCAGGCCACAAATCTCAAGCCAGCCTCAAAAGGCATGTGCTATTTCCTGCCTCCACCCCTTCTGTGGGGGGTCTCTGTGTACCTCACACAGGGTGGGGGGTACCTGACACGTGAGCAGGGGAGGGACTCCCCCACCTCCCATCAGCATGAACTGAGCTCCTGGAACACACGTGCTCATGGGAAGGAGTAGACAAACGCAGCACAAGGGGTGCGACACACAGTCAGGGCCCCGTTTCCAAGTTCTACCTAGAAGAGCACGCCCAGCCTGGCCATGGGTTCAAGTCTCCTCCTCCTGCAGAGATCGGTCAGCTGCAGGGCTGGGACGGGGGACACACAGGACAACTGTGACCTATCTGTCCTGAGAGGAAGGAAGGGAGGAGAAGACAAGGAAAGGACAAAGTGGACAGAGGCCCCATGGGGTGACCTGCAGAGTAAGTGACAGCACAGAACGATCACTGGGGCGCCTCTCCCCGGACAATTCCAAATGGAATCGTGAAGTGCGGGAAGGAACAGTGCAGCCTCCAAAGCCCTTGTAGTGTCAGGAGACACCACTGAGCCCCTGGGGGTACTGAGCTCAGGAAAGACACGCAAACAGGTGAAAGCCAACAGGTGGGCGTCTGAGGAGCAAGGTGGTACAGTGACCCGCAGGCAAGGCTGGCTGGCGGCAATGCGCCAGGCTCAAGGGGACTCCAGCAGAGGGACATGCAGTGTCACAGCCTGGCCCCTGCATGGAGCATGTCACACAAAGCCAGGCAGATCAGGCCAAGTCAGAGCAGCAACTCCATAGTGTCCAAGTCACAGAAGACAAGGAAAGTGGAGGGCTGGGACAGGCCACTGGCAACCTGGGTAGGGAGCTGGGCCACGAAAGGGACACTAGTGGCACAAATGGTGGCACCCTACAGAACCATCCCACTTGTTAATCCATCACACTGCAGCCTGCTGCAGGCAAGGGTGGAGACGGAGCCCAAGAACACAGAGTCACAGCCCACGGAAACTGCACTTCCAGCACTCCAAGATGAAGTATTTCAAAATACAAAGGTTAAGTTGGGTGCTGGTGGCTCACGTCTGTAATCCTAGCTACTCAGGAAGCTGAGATCTGAGGATCCCGGTTCAAAGCCAGCCTGGGCAAGAAAGTCCATGAGACTCTTATGTCCAATGAATGCCAAAAAAGCCAGAAGTAGAGCTGTGGCTAAAGTGGTAGAGCAGCAGCCTTGAGCAAAAGAAGCTCAGGGACAACGCCCAGGCCCTGAGTTCAAACTCTAGGACTGGCACCAAAAAAAAATTTTTTTTATTAAGCCATTTTGCCCTCCATGGTGTGATGCTGAGAGCACAGCAGCTTTCACTGGGAGGAGAGACGCGAGAAGACAGCACTGTAATCCATGGGGCCACCCAGACCGAGCCTCAGACACGCTCAGCCACTGCACATGCTGGAAGAACAGCCTCTTATTTATAAATATTTGCCAAATCTTACTGATACCAAAATCCAGTGGGGTGGGGCATTTCACAATAGCCACAAGAGGGAGGAAGAAAAAAGTCAGAGTGTTCTGGATGCTAGCTAAAAAGGCTTTAGAGTCTTGTCAGCCTGTTTGGGGCTTTCGTGGAAAAGATATCCAAGACTAAATACAATGACAAACTGACAATAACTGCCAGTGTGGCATTAGCATGAGGACAGACACACAGACCAGTGGCACAGTGAGTAGGGGGCAGGCGCACACACTTGAACTCCATCCATTTCCACAGGAGGCCAGCAGCATTCAACAGGGAAAGGACAAGCTTCCACCATAGGTCCTAGCACAAACATACATGCACACAGAAGCGTGGATCTAGACCTGTGCCTCACACCCTATGCAAAAATCCACTGCAAATAGATCACAGACATAAACCCAAAACAAGAATGCTCTTAGGAACAGGAAGTCATGATCCCTTGAAGGAGAAATTTTCCATCAAGAAAGGGGGCAGAAGCCATGTGCTGGTGGCTCATACCTGTAATCCTAGCTACTCAGGAGGCTGAGATCTGAGGATCACAGTTCAAAGCCAGCCCGAACAGGAAAGTCCATGAAACTCTTATCTCCAATAAACCACTAGAAAACGGGAAGTGGTGCTGTGGCTCAAGTGGTAGAGCACTAGCCTTGAGCTGAAGAGCTGAGAAGAGCTGAGGGACAGCGCTCAGGCTCAGAGTTCAAGCCCCACAACTGACAAAAAAAAGGAGGGGCAGAGGGTCTGGGAAGGTGGCTCAGTGGTAGAGTGCTTGCCTTGCATGCATGAGGCCCTGGGTCTGATTCCTCAGCACCACATAAGCAGAAAAAGCCAGAAGTGGCACTATGGCCCAAGCAGTAGAGCGCTAGCCTTGAGCTGAAGAGCTGAGGGACAGCGCCCAGGCCCAGAGTTCAGGACTCAGGACTGACAAAAAACAAGTGGGGGGGGTGGGGGCAGCAGACAGGGGCTTGGAATGTGGCTTAGTGATAGAGTGCTTTGCATAGCATTCATGAGGCCTGGGTTTGATTCCTCAGTAGCACATAAACAAAAGACAATAAAGTTAAAAGAGAAAAATTATTTTTTAAAAAGGGGGCATACAGCCCACCAAATAAAACCCTACAAATTCAGTGCTTGATGAGGCCATCTATACCCTTTCCATGGAGTGAGTGCTGCCCATACCCTGCGTCTGCCTCAGCACCCTCGAGGCTCCATACTAAGAGCTCTCACAGAGCCAGGCATCGGTGGCTCACGCCTGTAATCCTAGCTACTCAGAAGGCTGAGATCTGAGGATTGTGGTTCAAAGGCAGCCCAGGCAGGAACGTCCATGA